CTTTCTGCCATAAGGGTGGTGTCATCTGCATATCTGAGGTTATTGATATTTCTCCCAGCAATCTTGATTCCAGCTTGTGCTTCATCCAGCCCAGCATTTCTCATGATGTACTCTGCATATAAGTTAAATAAGTAGGGTGACAATATACAGCCTTAACATACTCCTTTTCCTATTTGGAACCAGTCTGTTGTTCCATGTCCAGTTCTAGCTGTTGCTTCCTGACTTGCATATAGATTTCTCAAGAGGCAGGTCAGATGGTCTGGTATTCCCATCAAAGTTACATACATGTTAGTTCATAGGCAAAACTAGAAATACTAGAATCTATAAGTGTAATAGAAACACTGGTGTTTTCTTCTGCAGGCTGCCCACTTTGTATATCCCTGCATGGTGTGACAAGTGTAATTTGAAGGATTGCTCATACAAAACCCGTTATGAGCAGGAAAGGTCCTTTCCCTGGGCAGGTTGTTTCTTTCCTTTGAAATTGGTTAAAATGTCAACCAAAACAGCAGAGATTTTTGCAGCCACTTCACTGATTTATCCTCAAGGCCGTGATGTCGTGGCACATATCAACACATATTTAGTCAGCACAGATGTCTCTGAATGGTTCCTTCTGCATCATCTTTTTGTGGTAAACATGTATCTTCATTCAGGTGTCAAACTGATCACTTGCATGGAGACTTGAAATGCTTCCCTTTTCTATTTCTTCTATTTTGTTCATTCATCGGTACGACAGCACTTACTGTGTATGTTTTCAGTTATCTTTCCTTCTCTCTGTGCCAGCTCACCTTGTTGGTTGAACACACAGGTACACACACTCCTTTCTCGTTTAATGGCTTTCTCATCTTTGTACTCCAGTCCCAGAAAAGTCAATAGCATTTATTTTATGTTTAAAATTGTTTTTGCCGTATACTTGCTTTACAATGTTGTGTTAGTTTTTGCTATACAACAGAGTGAATCAGCTATCCTCATTCAGTCTGACTCTTTGCCATCCCATGGACTGTAGCCCACCAGGTTCCTTGTCCATGGAATTGTCCAGGCAAGAATACTGCCACTTCCTGCTCCAGAATACTGGAGTGCTTGCCACTTCCTACTCCAGGGAATCTTCTTGCCCCAGGGATCAAACCTGTATCTCTTTCATCGTCTGCATTGGCATGCAGATTCTTTACCACTGGAACCATCTAGGAAGCCCCAAGTCAGCTGTACTTATACATATATCAGGGGCATCCTAGGTGGCTCAGTGGTGAAGAACCCACCTGCCTGGCAGGAGACTAGGGCTCAATCTCTGGGTTGGGAAGATCCCCTAGAGAAGGAAATGGCAACCCACTCCAGTATTCTTGCCTGAGAAATCCTATGGACAGAGGAGCCTGGCAGGTTACAGTCTATAGGGGTCACGAAGAGTCAGACCCAGCTTAGCAACTAAACAGAAATAAGAAGTACATATATCACCTCTTTTTCAGATTTCCTTTCCAGTTAGAGTGAATGGCATTTCGTGAATGCTGGACAGATGATTATTTATTAAATTTCTACATTACTGATGGAGATAAATATAAAACACAACTCCAATTAGAACAACTAATTAGTAAAATATTAACATATGTCCATTTGTAGTTCATTGTGTGTAGGTAAGCCTACAGCTGAAAACTGCCTTGTATCCAAAACAAAAGGTATAATTCCTCCTCATTTGTATTCTGAGTTCTAAGAGTATAATGTATGGTGGTCAGTTCCGTGGACTTCAAAGTCAATTTAATATTAGAAGACAGACTACTGCAATTATTATAATTAACCACATTAAAGACATCCCTGGTGGTTCAGATAGTAAAGAATCTGCCTGCAATGCAGGAAACCCAGATTCTTTTTTTTGTTTGTTTTTTCATTTATTTTTATTAGTTGGAGGCTAATTACTTTACAGTATTGTAGTGGATTTTTCCATACAGTGACATGAATCAGCCATGGATTTACATGTGTTCCCCATCCNGCACGGATGGGGAGGGACTTGGGAGGAAGATATCTCAGGGCCCCAAAGAGGGACAGCCTGCTCCCCCACAATCATGTAGCCTCATGTGGGTCAGAATTCTCTTGAATTGGTAGTGTTTTGTGGAATGAGAGCTATGTGGAGCCACATTCTTGCTCAGTAACCACATCAACCAGCATTACTTTCTGTAGCATTACCATTATCTGTCTCTCACACACAGAAAAAGTCATAATACCCGGTGCCAGTGTGCTTGTTGGGAAATGGACAGTTCCATGATTCCTGTCAAAGAGTATTAATGCTTCTGTCTTTTGGGAGGAACAGTCTGGCCGTGTTTTCTTATTTGTTCATTTATTTTCCTTCCAACTTCATTGAGATATAAGTCATTGAAATTGGAAGGAAAATAAATCAGAGGACGAGATGGTTGGATGGCCTCATCGACTCATGAGGCCATGAGTTGAGTTTGAGTAGGCTCCGGAGATGGTGAAGAACAGGGAAGCCTGGCATGCTGCAGTCCATGGGTTTGCAAAGGGTCAGACACGACTGAGTGACTGAACGACAACAAAAAACCACAATAAAAGACTGAAAAAAATGATAACAATATTTCATTATATTGTGCAGAAAACTCTAGATAAAATTTAATGTGCATTCATTCATGATAATAGCTGTTAGATACCAGAACTAGGAGGAAACCTTCTAAACCTGATAGAATATATGAAAGAAACATCACATGTAATGAAAAACTTAAAGCATTTCCTATTAGGTTAGATATGAGATAAGAGTGAGTACCACTATCACTCCAAAACAGCACCGAACTAGATGTTTATATAACCCTAAAAGGCATAAATGTTGCAAAGAAAATTACAAACCTGGTATTATTTAAAGATTATTTTGGAGATTATATATAAAGAAAAATCTATACTTTTTTATATTTAGATATTTTTAAAGACCTAGTATAAATCATTTGAATTAGAGTTTAGCAAGTTTGCTGGATTAAAAAAAAATACAGCGAAAGCAATTGCATTCCTATTTCTATGCAGCAAACAGGAAATGTAATTTTAAATCATGCTATAAAATAATAGCATCAAGAGATAAAAAGTACTTGAGAATAAATCTGACAAAGTATTTTTCCCAGCAGGAAAATTTAACTCCCAGAGGAGAGTTTAATGGATGGATGATTTATTAAGTGGTCAGGATCAAAAGCAAGCAACAAGGAGTGGTGGGGAAACTCAAGAGAGAAAAATAGGGTACTAATCATAGGTCTGAATGGGCAACTGAAAAGGAGCAGTTACCTGAACCTAATTTCATAGCACTCTGGCTGCAGGAGAAGGTGACAGTCGAGCGCTTCAAGGCTGGACTTTAGCCTGGTGGCCCAGCGGCTAAGATTCCACACTCCCAGTGCAAGGGGCCCAGGTTTGATCCCTGGTGAGTAACTAGGTCCCACAACTAAGAGCTGAAATGCTATAACGAATAGATCCTATGTGCTCCAACTAAAACAGGCACAGCCAAATAAATAAATATTTAAAAAAAAAGAGAGCTGCAAGGCTCCGGAGATGAATACAGCCGCAGCCAGCCATCAGCAGTGAAGTGGGCAAGAAGGCAGGGATGTGTATGAACTCAGATCTCCTACCCATCCTTCCCATTGGCAAAAACCTTACAGAGACCAGAAGGCAAGGGAGCCCTCTCTGATGGACTCTAAAAATACCAGCCTTCTAAGACATAAACCAAAGCACAGAAGGAAAAAAGAGAGGTCTGGTGAAGTAAAGGGAGAATATTCAATTACTTTTCAAGGCTTCTGGGAACATGATAAATTTTGTAAAAAGACATTAAAAATATGAAAATAGAGAGATGGCTGTATTGTTCATGGATGGGAAGATTCAATATTGGGAAAACATCAGTGCTTCCCTGTTGGGGGCTGAATGTGTTGCCCCCAAATTCGTATGTTCAATCACTAGCTGCCAGTAGCTCAGAATGTGAGTGTGTTTGGAGACAGGACCTTTGAAGAGATAATAAAGGCAAAATGAGATCATACAGGTGGGACCTCGTCCACTATAACTGGTGACTTACTAGAAGAGGACACAGCAACACAGACCACGGGGTGACTGCAGGAGGACACAGTGAGCAGGCGGCCATCTGCAAGCGGAGGAGACGGCCGCAGCAGAAACCAAACCTGCAGCACCTTTTTTTTTTTTGGCCGCACAGCTTGCAAGATCAGAGTTCCCCCCGCAGTGGAAGCTCAGAGTCCTAATCTCTGGACCGCACCAGGGAATTTCCAAACAGCAACACCTTACTGTACACTTCTAGCTTCCAGAACGGTGAGAAATAAGTTCCTGTTGCTTAAGCCACCCAGTCTGTGGTATTCTGTTATAGAAGCTCTAGCAAGTGAATACATCACCATACTGATATA